TGTAAATACCACCAATGAACCTAGTAATAGCCAAAACAATATTGAGACACCTTAATTTCTTATTCCTTTAGTAAGCTGGCCATACATGGGCTGAACAAGAGAAATCTATAGATTCAAATTCACCCATCCACGCTAAACAGTATTGATGGATGAATGTCCTGCTGCCTGCCTGAATGTAAAAGCATCTGATAAGACTTAGCAGTTATTCAGCCAACTTTTTCCTCCCAGCTCCTTTGATTTCTCCATCGATGTTTGTGTGCTACAGTAGATGATGCTGGCAGGGTCACTCACGACTTGAACTTAGGCCGATTCACAGGATTCCTATGAAATTTAAGTTGTATATGGCCAGCTTAAATGTTCCATTGTGTCTTGTTCATCATTCACTTAGGTGTTTTGTCCACGTGTTTTAGCAGTAAGTCATTAAGCTGACTGCTGATTAGATGCTGTAGGTTAGATCACTTTGATTATTATTATTAGAATTCCTGTCTAGTTTTTACTACTATCTGGGGCACCCTCACAGATTTATCCTCACTTCCTGTCCCGCTGATTATTTAAGACAGGAAGTAAAGTAAACTCTACAGTAGCGACACAGACAGAAATAAACATTATTTTCTTTTGTAGGGAAGGCTAGAACCCACCTCAGATATATATTTTTGTCTGTGTCCCTGTTGCAGTTTTTTCCTCACCTCCTGTCTGGTGAAACCATTCTCAGCAGGACAGGCGAGGTAGGGTAAATCTCTTTAGGGCTTCGTTTTACGCTTGATTCAAAATGTGGCATTTGAGATGTCAATCAAAGCGCCTCTCACTAAATAAAATTGTTACTGTATAGTCCTGGTCACGCGGTTGCGTTTAGTTTGGTTTGTTCCAAAACGTATACCCCATGTCCCCTTCTTGGAGCTTCAAAACACCTCCAAAGCCTCCATAAAAGTCTATGACAATGCCTGCTAACAGCACCTGAAGCTTTTGAGTGACTTTTATTCATAGTTAGCTTTGCTTTGGAGGTATGAGATAACCCAGGATGCACTGGGAAACTAATAAGCGAACCAGAAAGACATCAGCAGTGACTTCTGGTTCATGTGTATATATTCTGGTTTGCAGCAAGGAGTAGCAGGAAGTTAACTACTTGCCAACCACAGATAGCCGAATGACGGCTACACTGCGGCTGGCCAGTTCTGGGAGGGCATCATATGACGTCCTTCCCAGAACGCACTCTCCTGCGCACCCCCCCCATGGCGTGCACCCAGTGATCGCTGTGTCCTACGGACACAGCTGATCACGTGATGTGGTAAAAGGCCAATCACAGCGGCCTTTTACCACATGATCAGCTGTTTCCAATGACACGCTGATCACCGGGAAATGCAATTGACGATTATCAGCTGCACTTTCCTCACGCTGTCAGAGTATGAGGAAAGTACTGCCGAGAACCGGCAGTTGTCAGAGCAGGGATCGGCACCGATCATCAGGGCACTGATGATCAGTGCCCTGATGATCGGTGCCCCCCCAGTGCCACCCACTAGTTCCACCCCCCTGTGCCACCCAGCAGTGCACCCCCCTGTGCCACCCAGCAGAGTACCCCCCCTGTGCCACCCAGCTGTGGCGCCAGTCAGTGCCCAGCTGTGGCGCCAGTCAGTGCCGACCCATCAGTGCCACCTATCAGTGCCCATCAGTGCTGTCTCATCAACGCACATCAGTAAAGGAGAAAAATTACCTGTTTGCAAAAAATTTGAAAAAAAAAGTTTTTGTTTCTATTATAAAAATTTTTCAATTTTTTTGTTTATAGCGCAAAAAGTAAAGTGCCCAGCGATGATTAAATACCACCAAAAGAAAGCTCTATTTGTGAGAAAAAAATTATAAAAATTTCATATGGGTACAATCTTGTATGTCCATGTAATTGTTAATCAAAGTGCGACAGCGCTGAAAGCTGAAAATTTTGCCTGGTAAAGAAGGGGGTATATGTGCCCGGTAGGCAAGTGGTTAAGCAGGGTCTGTACTGGAGTGGAGAAAACTAGTGGATAACACACATGATGTGCAACATGGGAATGCTATAGCAGAAGCTGAATGGGGACAGGAAAAAAAGGCCTGACCGGCCGAGGATCAGCAGAGCTGGGGGACCAGAGCAAGGAAAACTAGCAGATGCAACATGTGGTGCACACCACGGGAGCAATATAGCAGGAGGCAAGAAGGAGGGACGAGGATCAGCAAACCAGAAGATCCCCACCCTGTGAAGAATTGCTACTGCTACAATCTGGGCGCTGGGCTTTCTCTCCCCTCCAGGTTCTTCCTCCTGTAATTGCCACGCTCCTCGATCTGGACTGTCACATCGGACTGAGCAGGATTTGTTTACCTGCCCCCTTCCCACATTCTTTGCTGGGAGATGGGGGCCAGGTAAGCCAATCATGCCCAGTCCGATATGACAGTTCAGGTCGAGAAGCGTGGCAATGACAGGAGGAAGAACCTGGAGGCGATATAGAGCCCAGCGTTATCTGATAGGCATTGCATCTCTATTGTGAGTCTCTGCAGCTGCTATCCCACACCCCTGTACCTCTCCCTGCCAGCCAATTGTTAAAAGCAGCTTCCCCCAGGCTCCCCTCCTCTTCTTGACACCTCACAGTTCAGGAGAGGCCTGGGGGAAGCTGCTTTTTCACATCCCACAGACATCTGCAGCAGCATTGTATGTGAGGTCTGTATGTGAGGGAAGGAGGATTAAACTTTGCGGGAAGGGAGGTGGAGTAACATATTTGTGCTGGATAGGACAGTATGTGTGCTAGGAGGGGAGAGAGAAGTGGATTAGTGGTAGGAGGAGGGGTTTGGGGGGGTGATATGTGGGAGGAGGGAGTAAGATTTCTTTTTTTTCTAGAACATATAAATTGAAAATTTGGGTGGGGGGGGGGGTGAGTGCTGTGGGGAGATTGTGGGGGGAAGGAGCTAGGAGAGGTTTATGCTGGGAGGTGGGCTTTTATGGGGGGTTATTGAGAGAGGAGCATTTGTGCTAGGAAGGAAAGCTTTTGGAGGGGGATACAGTATGTGTTAGGAATTGTGATTTGAGGGGAGGTTATGTACTAAGGGGGAGTTTGGGGGGATTTGTGCTGGAAATGAGGAAGAGGAACTTGTGCTGGAAGGTAAGATGAGGGACGTTTTGTTCTGGGAGGGGGAATTCTGGGGGTGATTAATTTTTGGTGGAGAGGATGTGTGCTGGGGCAGAATTGAGGGTGTGCTAGGAAAGGGTAATTTAGGGGGATTTGTGCTAGGAGGGGGGATTTGGGGGTGAGATTTATGCTAGTAGGCATGCTGAGGGGGATATTCGCTCAGAGGGGAAATTTGAGGAGTAGAGGTTTTGTGCTAGGAGGAGGGGATTTGGGGAAGGAGAGGATTTGAGGGTGGATGGGGGGGGGGGGACATAGATTTATGCAGGGTTGGGGATTTCAATGAGGGGGTGGTGGAATTTTGTATTGGGAGGAGGGGGAATTTTTATTTTGGAGAATTTGGCTTTCAAAGGCAATTCATGCTTAGGGGGTAAGCATGCACAATAGAGCTCAAATTTTCAGGGGGGGGGGGGGAGATTTTTGGCTGTGAAAATGGCAAAGAAAAATTGCATATTTTTATGAGAAAGTGCTGTGCTATTGGTAAAAAAAAGACACATCTGCACATTTGCCATACAATAGTGCCATACCGGAAATGCAAACATTTTGTTTTCAATGTCCATGTACATCTTCAGCAAATGTTGAACGGAACAGGCTTTTATAAACACAGTAGAAAAAAAGTTGTAAACGATCAGTTTACCAAAAAAAAAACTACAGGTATGCAATCTTTTGTTAGTAATACTCCTTGGTCTTTGAATGCTTAAAGGATAACTAAAGGCAAATCTTTTTTTTTTTTTTTTTTGGGGAGGGGGGGGATTTGCCTTTAGTAACATTTTAAGCATTCAAATACAAAGGAGTACTATTGGATATCACTGTCTGTGCCCTCATTAAGGAGATTCACCCTCTCTATTTGTCCTGTTTACCATTATCCTTCAAAGTAAAGAAAGTCCCAAAATTTGGGTTGTCCCCAGAAAAGTAATAGGGGGGAAATCTTCCAATGGAGACACTAGTTCTTGTGACCTGGGGATCCCTGAAGAATTCCCTTAATTTGCAGGGATTTCCTCTCACTTCCTGTTTGACTATGGGACAGGAAGTGAAGGGAAATCTCCAAAATGAGACACAGATATAGGAAAAAAAATTGACAGGGTATAACTCTCCCTCACTCTATCCAAATTGGAAAAAAAATGTTTTGCCTATAGTTCTACTTTAAAAGATAACTAAACCCAAAAATAAAAATAAAATATATTGTGGCTTACCCATCCTTAGATGTGGTGGATGCTAAGTTTTTAATTTTTCAAGCTAATAACATTTTCAGCAGATGAAAAAAAATTCTGTTGATTTTGCTAGAAATGCAGTGCCCTTGTCCATTCCTGTACTCTGATGCAAAAACAAGCAACGTTATCTTTCTTCTGTAAATTACTAATATCCCCACCCCTGCAATGTAATTGAGATAAACAAAGGCAGACATGTATTTGAAGTCCAGCCTTGGTGACAACCATGGCTCCTTCTATAGAAATAGTGGAGAAGCGAACATAGCCAGTCAGGGATAGGAAATGTGTTATTCACAGGCGCAGGATCATCAAGTGAAAATAAAGGAAAGAATGAGTGCAGCTACTTCAATTGAGGACTGGTATGCTGCGATATAATAAAAACTATTGTGTTTAGGTTTAGATACACTAAACCAAGGTGGAGCAAGGACACACAGTAATTATTTTCCTATGATAGCTTGGGTGGGGGTGTATATTTAGGAGACATAATCTGAGTGATGGTCAAAGTTGAGAAATCCTGTAATGTAGAAATTCAGGCTTGGGTTTAGGTGTTCCCAGAATAACCGTTTAGTAACAAGCAGATAGTTTTACGTTAAGGTTTAATCTGGTGCTCTTAACGAAATGGATGAAAAATAAAAGCCATAGACAGCCTATGCACCATACTTGTATTGTCATAATAATTTCTTATGTTTACCTGGAGTGTACCTTTAAGAAAAGTCACCAGTATTCATTGATTTTGATCTTTTTTTTTTATTCTACAGTTGGGAAAACATCAAGAATTTTACGCCCCAAAAATTGTAGTTCTCTGGTATTAGATGATGACCTTCAGTACTATCTAAAGTTTCCTGTCACTGTCCTTGTCGTGCCATCCTTCTATGTAGTCATATTCCTCTTGGGACTTCCAGCTAATGGGATTGCGTTCTGGGTACTTCTCTTTAGATCAAAGAAGATGCCATCTACATTTCTACTAATTAACCTGGCAGCTGCAGACTTGTTGTTTATGTTGGCATTGCCTTTTAAATTTGTTTATCACTTCCTTGGAAACAACTGGATTTTTGGAGAAACCCTTTGTCGGATAGTCACTGCGGTGTTCTATGGGAATATGTACTGCTCTGTGTTCTTTCTCATGACCATCAGCATTGATCGATACTTTGCTCTGGTCCATCCCTTTCTGGCCAGGAGTCTACGTGGTTGGAGAAGTTTTGCATCTGTCTCTAGTGGAATCTGGTTGGTCGTGATGGCTGGTGTCTCAATATTCCTTATTGTCCCCCAGTCAAAAACATATAACAATCCAAATTTGACAACCTGCCATGAAGTCTGGGTAATTTGTGATGGTTACGAATGGTACACTATATATTTTCTTGTGCTCTTCATCGTGGGATTTGCCATTCCTTTAATTGTTATTTTGCTTTGTTATGTGTCAATTTTGATCACTTTGTCAAAGAATAAGGAATCTCACAGTCAGGTGATAAGACTGATAATTCTAGTGGTTGTCGTATTCATCTTCTGCTTTACCCCCAGTAATATTTTGCTTATTTTTCATTACGTGGTAACAGACCGGGATTGTCACAACCAACTGTACATCTGGTACATGGTGGCATTATGTTTGACATCATTCAACAGTTGTATCGATCCATTCATATACTATTACATGTCAGAGGACTTCCGGACAATGGTAAAAAATACTTTTCACTGGAACAGCAGTGAAAACAGTGAGTCAGTAGAGTGCACGAAAAAAACTAAACTGACTTCAGAGATGGCCAGAATAAGTACCTAAACTATGCCTATCACATGAGCTATGTTTATACCACATCTCATAATACTGACCACATATATAAAATATGCATTTACTTTTTGGACAAATATTGAAATATATTTTTCTTTTTGTACATTGATAAATTATATTTTTCTTCTTGATCAATTTAAAATTTTATTTTTATTATTTTTCCTTCAAGGATATGTACTGACAATAAAACTGCATTCAATTCAAATGGCTGTTTCTTGTCTCATGAACAACAGACTATAATGTTTGTATGAAATATCAATGTTATACATTTGCTTGTTGTCTGTGGGGTGTGTAAGCTTTTCAAATAGTTATTAAATATGTCAGTGCAATGAGAATAGTGGACAAACTGGGGAGTAGTAATCCAAAGCTATAAAGGAGCTCTTAGTTGATTAAACTTGGCAGATTATGAGTTATGCACAGTTTTCTAGCTGTTCCCTGTTAGGATGGACTGTCCTTTTGGAAATTAAGTCTGGTATACATGTTGTTTTTTTTTTTTTTCATTCAACACAGAGGGTTGAACTAAAAAAATTTTGAGGAAGTCACTGTATTAACTATGCGATGTTAGCACACTGATCTCCCCACTAATTTGACAGAAACCGGTCATGAAATCAGTTTCTGTTGAATAAGCAGCTGTACACACGCAGAAAGTCAGGCTGTTTCTACTGTAACGGCTGATTTCAGTTGATCTTTGGTGTGTGGGCTTAAAGGAGAAGGACAGCCAAAGCTCTTTTGGTTGTACTTCTCCTGTGGATCACAGGAGTGCAATTAATTCTGCACTCCTGTGACCTGTTTTCAGCTGACAGCGGGATGGAAGCCCGCTGTCGGCTGATGTCAGCCGATCCAGGCTGGGAAAGACCCAGATTTTAAAATGAAGATCCACCCCAGAGTTTGGAGCGGCACCCTGGCTCAGCCTCTCAGCTATCTGCTGAGAGCCTTAGCCAGTTGCTCCCTTCCCCTCCACAGCCCTGCACGCCAGTGAGTGTGGGGGGTGTAATGGCTATTTTGGGCCTATAATAATTTTTTAACATTATTGTGAACTTCTGATAGGGGTCTAAGTCTCAGTTCCTGCAACGTATTTTTCATCACCTCAACACCCCCCTTTTTGAAGCTTTCCTGTAGAGGTTTTATAGCAGTATGGCCACCTGGCTGAACAAGCCCCTGGAGTTGTCATTTCTAACACCTCCTAGGGAGTATTGTCATAGATATTCCTGCTGGAACTGGCTTCAAAGGAAGTATGCTTCACTGGACATTGGCCTATCATAAATTCCATCTGGTGAGCTACAGTTGGCCAATATCTTTCACAAGTCACAGAGCCCCCCTTTGAACAGAAATGGCAAAATACTGGAACTTATTGAAGGGTGTGCCTTTACATGGAATGGAGGGGGGGGGGGGGTCATTGCCCATTTTCTCCCCTTTTCTCTTTTGAAGCCCAGTCATCAAGATGTCTACGTAACGTATAATTCTATGTTTCTTTTCTGTAACTTTCTTTCCTGTAGTCATCTCTTTGTATTGGTAAGATTCTATATATTTGCATTGTAATATTACTACTTTTAAAGTTATACCAGCTACATTATATTTTTTTGTGTTATATTTGATTAATAGCAAGCTTCTTTCTCTGTGTAAATAAATTAGATCTTTATTTTTTGCACAGTTGTTATCATTTGATATTAACTTCATTGGTAATAGCCTCATCAGGATTGGCTAAATTCCTGTATAGACAAAAGGTTGTAATCACTTATTACATTTATAATCAAGGGAATAAGTGCAGTAGCAAAACCGCCAAAACAGGGGGCAGAGCAGAAAGCAGTGACTGAGAGTCACTGCTCTCTGCTCAGAGAGGTGGTGAGAAATACAGCGATCAGCGTTCAAGTGAATTCTCACACTTAGAGCTGGCGAGGGACAGATGCAGCATCAGACCGATGCTGCATCCACCTAGGTAAGTATAAATGGAGGGGAAAAAAAGCCCATATACTTATTTTAAGAGCATATTTATGAGACCGTGAATGTGACTCTGACTGAACATTCACCAATGGTAAATTAATCACTGTCATTTAACACACACACCAGGAAACTTTACCTGCAGTGAAAGCTAGGTGAATACTATATTCACTTTATTATAAAAAAAAAAGCATATTTAAGCACAAAAGTAAACATTTTATATGTTGCAGCTTATCAGCTCTTAAAGTGTAATTCAACCTTAACCCTAACTACTCTTAAAACTGTCCCCATACCCCTCCGAACACCTATGCTAACCAACCTGAGAAAGAAAGATGTATATACCTGTCAAATCAAGGTGCTGTGGTCTGATCATGTGTCATCCAGCGCTGATTCAGGGGAGTGAAAGGAGAATCAACAACGAATGGGCTATTGAAGTCTATGGGTGATATCACCACTGCAAGCTTTACTAACCATTGTCAGAGCACTCTCTCTCCTCTTCCCTGCAGCCACGTCTGACCGGCTCATGGGAGATCACGTGACCAGACCAAACAGGTAAGTATATACATTTTTTCTTATGCAGGTTAGTGAGTGGGCGGAGGGGACAATTTTAAGAGTAGTTAAAGCTAAGTTGGAATTGCACTTTAAATGTGCACTTTAAATATGATGGCTGCTGCACTTTTCTTTTTGAGACTTTTTTTTTTTCCTTTATTTTCACCGGGTGATCTGGGTAGTACGTCTATTATAGTTCAACTTCTTTTGACAGACCAAGCTGTACAGCAAATGTGGTAGTTGGACAGTTGAGATGAACCATGTAACATTGACAGGGATGCTTATAATGGTCAGTATTTAATCATTTTATGTTAAACCTTTTTGCCCTAAAGGAAAAAAATGTTTGCTGTAACTGCTTAAAAAGTGTTAGCGGGAGTGTATATTTAACTTGTCAGTCAAGCCCATCTAAATCTGCTAGTACATGTGACCCTACCCTCTCCACAGGTTGATAATACTGCTGTCCAAAGGTTTCTCTATTGCTTCTGCATCCATAGTGGAGCCACCCTAAAGTTGGCTATAGTCTGAAATGTGGCCAGTTCAGCAGGGCCCAGCAAATTTCAATCTGTGTGTAGCTGTGTCTGTTCGATAGAAGTTGAGTACTTGGAAAGTTTTTTTTCGATCAACCGTCTGCTTTTAATGACCCCTGAAAGGCACAGCAGTGTTCATAAACCTCCCAATGCTGGAATTGACACCCCGTCCATGTGAACTGCTGCAGGTGTGTATGTTAACGACACCCTCAAATCATTTTGCAAAACATGGTGCGATGTACAGTGTGAATTGGCACTCAATGCACAAAGCTTCTCTTGTGTATGCATAATGACTAGAGATGAGCGAATCGAACATGATGAAGTGGAATTCGTTTCGAAGATTAGGAAAAATTCGATTTGCGCCGAATCCGAAAATTAGCAAACTTCGGATGCACTAATCGAATTTTCCCAAAAATGGGCGGCGACATGTGTGGCGACGGAGCGGGGATCTCTGGGAAGGCGCGCAGACAAGGCGCGCTGACCCATAATGCATTCATTCATGACATGTGATCGCATTAGCCAATCAGCAGCCAGCCAGCCAGCACTGTGTAATGGTGGAGCTATAAATCGCGGCCATCTTAGAATTCTCCATTAGCCTCTGGTCATTCAAGAGAGACAGACCTGTCTGTATTAGGGACAGAGTTAGGGCCACAGAGACTTTAGGGCCACAGAATCGTTACTCAGGGACACAGAATTGTTACTCAGGGACACAGAATTGTTACTCAGGGACACAGAATTGTTACTCAGGGACACAGATCGTTACGAGGTCACAGTTGTTACTCTAGGGAACAGAATTGTTACTCAGGGACACAGAATCGTTACTGAGGGACACAGAATTGTTACTCAGGGACACAGAATTGTTACTGAGGGACACAGAATCGTTACTGAGGGACACAGAATCGATACTCAGGGACACTTGTTCTCCGGTGAGAATTGTTACTCGGGACACAGAATCGTTACTGAGGGACACAGAATCGTACTGAGGGACACAGAATCGTTACTCAGGGACACAGAATTGTTACTCAGGGGGACACAGAATCGTTACTCAGGGACACAGAATCGTTACTCAGGGACACAGAATCGTTACTCAGGGACACAGAATCGTTACTCAGGGACACAGAATCGTTACTCAGGGACACAGAATCGTTTACCTCAGGGAAGTGTTAACAGACACAGAATCGTTACTCAGGGACACAGAATCCGTTACTCAGGGACACAGAATCGTTACTCAGGGACACAGAATTGTTACTCAGGGACACAGAAGATCGTTTACTCAGGGACACAGAGAATTGTTACTCAGGGGACACAGAATTGTTACTCAGGGACACAGAATCGTTACTCAGGGACACAGAATTGTTTTACTCAGGGACACAGAATCGTTACTCAGGGACACAGAATTGTTACTCAGGGCACAGAATCGTTACTCAGGGACAGACACTGAATCGTTACTCAGGGGACACAGAATCGTTACTCAGGGACACAGAATCGTTTACTCGGGGACACAGAATCGTTACTCGGGGACACAGAATCGTTACTCAGGGACACAGAATTGTTACTCAGGGACACAGAATCGTACTCAGGGACACAGAATCATTACTCAGGGACACAGAATTGTTACTCAGGGACACAGAATCGTTACAACCAACTTCTGCTTCACAACCACTGTTTTTTATTGAATAAAGAGTATGTCAGACAACACGCAGAGGAGTGGCAGAGGAGGCAATGTTTCAGGAGCGAGCAGATGTGGCAGCAGAGGAAGGGGTCGAGGCAGCACTAGTCGCAGCCAGAGGCCAGTGCTCCCGGTGTCATCCAGCAGGTCGTGTCTCCACCGACAAATTTCACTGCCGTCATCGATTGGTTGACTCGGTCATCTTCCCTCTTCCCAGGTCACCTCTGACACCTACAGCCACGGTCGGTGGGTAAGTCAGACACAACCGTTAGTTGGCATGGCCCGGAGCAAGCCCACTGAAATCACGT